TGCATTATCCCTTGATTAGTATAGTTCTCCTTCATTGAATGAAGCCTTTAAAATAAAATAAAAATAAAAGGATTTTGTACTCCTTTCCTTCCCTTTTCATTATATGGAATTATATGGAATATGACCAGTAAGTGAGTCAGCAGCTCTTGTTGGGTAGTGCGGTGCGTCTAGTCGAAACCGTGTACTCTGTGCACATAGATCGTATTATGCACTCAACAATATCATGCAACTTTATTTGCCTTATCCATATCATATATATAAGTACACAAAATGATACCTTAATGGTTGTTGCACATGGTATGAGCCATTTGCGTTGTTGGATTTGTAATAATGTCATTTTTTATTACTACATTTATCTTGCATCATTTTTATATACATACTATACTGGAAATGGATTGGGTACCAATCTCCTAAAAAAGACAAAGAAAGTTGTGTATTTTATTAAAAGGTGAATACTAGATATGATGCAAGATGAAGTAATACAAGAGGCATGAACGTAAAGACATTAAATTTTCTATGCAATCCTTATCCATGCATCTATACTATAATGTAGAAATAATATTTAATATATCTTCTCAAGATAGTGAAAGTTTTTGCTGCGCAGAGTGATAAAGATTTATTAGGTTAGCATTACAACGCTGATGTTAATACAATAAGATAAATGTAGTTTGAAAATGAGTGAGATAATCTTTGAAATGGCATGTCGTTAGGCTTATATAGGGCACCCATTTTAAACGGTTTTTGTCTAACCCGATATGAAATGCAGGATTTGTTCGACCAAATTACGACAGGTGATGCACTAGTTGGGATCAAGTGTCCAATTTTTGGCGAGATTCGGCCTGTTCTTTTGTCTGCTAAATGAATACCACAAATTGCACCTTCTTTGTCAGACTTGTGTCTGACCCAGAACATTTTGTCCCTCAAATCCTAGCTGATATTTAGTGAAGTGATGATTGACATTGTTGGTTCAACTCCATCGCGTGTTGTCTATGAGGTTCAGAGATTCTATTGTCTATGAGGTTTAAAGATCCTCTTGTTTCTCTTTTTGTTCTCGACTCCATCTTCTGTTATAATTTCCTACAACTATTGTTCCAACACCTTTCTCATTGTTCATGGGGCGAAAGTCACACGCGCATTGGGAATCTCCATTCTTTAAAGGTAACAAACAACATTTTTTTTCCTTTTGTACTTGCTTATCATTTTCTACTGTACTGCAAAGGTGGTTATGCAATAATAGATGTTATTGTCGGGACTTAAAAGAAGGCTGGTGGTCTTGACTTCAAAGAAGTTATCAAGGTTTCTCTTTCCCCACTTCACCCTTAGGTGTATCGTCACACTTTTGATTGCCACTTTACAAATATTGAAGTAATGTAGTGGATGGAATTTCAATCTCATGCTTATTCTTATTGACACACTTTTTCATGTGTTGTCAATAAAGTTGAAACAGACCAAAATAATTGTAAAATTGCCCATACCACAGGGTGTGTAGAGCTAATGGTATGCATGGATTAGGAAATATTAGACATTGTTTTCTTATTCTCCGATAAAGGATGCTTAAACCATGCTGAGAGGTATGATTAGGGGTGCTCCTCCCAGAAGAAGACAAAAGGTTTTGCAGCAAGTACGAATGATATGTCCTCCTTCAAGAATGTTTGTTTTCTCTTATAGGTTTTTAGTTTCTCTTCAATGATTTTAAAGTGGATGTCATCATTCCCCTAGAGTTTCCCCTTCACAACTACATCAGGTAAGTTAGGCCTACTAGAAGATCTTCTAATATTTATACAAGTACAAGAAAAGTGTGCCAACCTTGGCACTCTTTTTCCATCTTTCTAATATCCAGTGTAGTTCGATTGAGTTAGAGCTAGGCCAAGGCTTGATCTCCATTAGGGAGGGAAGGAAGATGTTTGATGTGTATATTGACAATATGTAGAATTTCAAGGACCAATACAGCCTAGTTACGTCCTTCATTGAGGTTTCCCTTGCAATTATATGTGGTACTCAACCAATTGTGCCTTCGATATATTCTGTCATATTCCAAAAATTATGGTGTCAGAACCACTTTCTAACTAGTTCAAAAAGTTATGCATATCTCCCTAAGGACCCGTCTTAGCAGGAAAATTATTCAAAGAACAAGTTGATATCTTTCTGGGGAGGTTTGGGCTTTGTTGATGGTGGCGAGTCTTCTGGAGTGGAAACCAAAGAGGAAACGTGTGACATATTTAATAATAAGTGAAAGATTTCGTTTTATTTGTTAGGCCAATCAATAGGTGTGTCTTATTGTTTATTTTCCCTTTGCTTACAAGTAGGATGGGTTGACGCAAAATTATGCTCCAAATGAATATGACACCTATAATTACATCTTCGCCTCCTAAAATTGTTGCTTTGCTATTTCTTAATGAGGTTCATACTTTGGGAAGCCGTGTCAAACCAACCTCTTGATCAGCCTGAAACAGAGAACTCTCTACACCCATCGTCATGCACTACTAAACAGGGTCCCTCGAGGGGAGGAGTTAACAAAGCACACCCTTTTGGAGTGTCGTTCTTGAAAAGGCCTTGAATAGTGGAGCTGGATATAGGAAGATCAGGTATTGGTGTGAGTTCTTCCGTGACCACGACCAACTTGTCACCATTGTTTCTAGCTCTCCCTGGTCCTATAACACCTAGGGAATTTTAGTATTTCTTCTCAGAAGAGGATTATCCTTATATGTCGAGTAAAGTCGAAGCCTTATTTTAAGAAGAAATGATTGAAATGTCGTGCTATATGCGTTAGACGTCAATCGTCCTATCTTTTGGTGATGCAGTAAAGGGTACATCTTTGTGTTTGGTTGCCTTCACAAGGAGACAAGGACCTCGTAGTGTGAACTGGTATCGTAGTTATGAAGAAGGACTGACTTCTTGATGAGCTCATTAAGTCAGGAAACCTCTTGAAGGAAATCAGTGATGAGTATAAACTTTAGGTTATACCATCTACTGGCTGAGAAGACGCAATTGTTGACTCAAGAGATAAGAGAGAAGAATGTCGCATTGTTGACGGTTCATAATGCATCATCTAACATTAAGATTGTCTTTACTAATGCAAATGAGGTTGTGAATTCTTCTTAAAAGACAATAAAGGGGTTGGAGGCATCTTTGAATGAAGTCCGAGAAAATCGAAAGAAAACTTAAAATAACCTTATATAGTCGTGTTTCAAATTATCAACATATCTAAAATATATGCAAAATTTAGTAGATAATTAATTCCTTAACTTGTCTCATAATACAAGTTAGCAAGAAACAAAAGAATACTATAAAAACTATGGTCACATAACAAATAAAATCAAAATAAAGAGAGTTTCAATCATGAAATAATAATAATAATAATAATAATAATAATAATAATAATAATAATAATAATAATAATAATAATAATTATTATAATAATAATTATAATAATAATAATAATAATAATAATAATAATAATAATAATAATCATAATAATAATAATAATAATAATTATAATAATAATTATAATAATAATAATAATCATAATAATAATCATAATAATAATAATAATAATAATCATAATAATCATAATAATAATAATAATAATCATAATAATAATCATAATAATAATCATAATTATAATCATAATAATAATAATAATCATAATAATAATCATAATAATAATCATAATAATAATCATAATAATAATAATCATAATAATAATCATAATAATAATCATAATAATAATCATAATAATAATAATCATAATAATAATCATAATAATAATCATAATAATAATCATAATAATAATAATAATAATAATCATAATAATAATCATAATAATAATAATAATAATAATCATAATAATAATAATCATAATAATAATCATAATAATAATAATAATAATAATAATAATAATAATCATAATAATAATAATAATAATAATCATAATAATAATAATAATCATAATAATCATAATAATAATAATAATAATAATAATAATAATAATAATAATAATCATAATAATCATAATAATAATAATAATAATAATAATAATAATAATAATAATAATCATAATAATAATAATAATAATAATAATAATAATAATAATAATAATAATAATAATAATAATAATAATAATAATAATAATAATAATAATAATAATAATAATAATAATAATAATAATAATAATAATAATAATAATAATAATAATAATAATAATAATAATAATAATAATAATAATAATAATAATAATAATAATAATAATAATAATAATAATAATAATAATAATAATAATAATAATAATAATAATAATAATAATAATAATAATAATAATAATAATAATAATAATAATAATAATAATAATAATAATAATAATAATAATAATAATAATAATAATAATAATAATAATAATAATAATAATAATAATAATAATAATAATAATAATAATAATAATAATAATAATAATAATAATAATAATAATAATAATAATAATAATAATAATAATAATAATAATAATAATAATAATAATAATAATAATAATAATAATAATAATAATAATAATAATAATAATAATAATAATAATAATAATAATAATAATAATAATAATAATAATAATAATAATAATAATAATAATAATAATAATAATAATAATAATAATAATAATAATAATAATAATAATACCAACATTTTCTAATTTGAATGGATTTAATTCAACAAGTGTAAAAGTATATAATTGTTGCAAACACCCACATCACATATAAGATCTCCACTCCAAAATATATTTTCAGAAAAATAATAATTAATTAAAATGATACTAATAATAATTAATTAAAATGATACTAATAATAATTTCAAGTTAAAAAATTGAAATGTTAATATTCAACCGTTTACCACTCCAAAGAATTTAATGAAGTTGTCTTACTCCATTATTTAATATTTATTCTCTAATATGATAAGATCAATGACCTATTTGTCTATTTCCTACTGCAAAACAATGGATCTGGATCTCAAAACAATCACCATAAGATATCAGGCAAAAATCCACTGTTACTATTTGTTGTCATACTCCAAACATCAGAAAAATCCTTAAATTTCTCTCCCATAGAATACAACGAAGGAGAATCACTTGTTATTTCACCAATTGATGCCAAATCCTTCAACTCAGACTCATCCAAACCTTTTGCTTCACCTAAGCTACAACGTTCGTTTCCATGTTTTGCTATGGCATTCTTCAATTTCTTTATCTGTATATCATAATTAACCATAAAAGAAGATATTAGAATTTGATAGCACTAGTTGTGAAAGAATTAAAAAGTGTCACTAATTTCGTCAAATTTAACAAAACTCATAGTATTTTACCGTTGTGGTTGTACAACTGAAGCTGCAAACTCGACCCTCTGCACCTCTATAGAATCTGAAGAATGGTAAAACATGAATGTGCAAACTTTGACACATACTTCTCAGCTCCTCGTAATTCACTTTCAGAAATATTATACTTGGGTTTGATTCTGCTATTTGACATATTTTTGGGTGAAGAGCTTTGCAGCCTCCACAACCAGGTGAGTAGAAATCCAGCACAACCAACGCATCACCGGCGCTGACCAAACAATCAACAAGTTCTTGAGCTGAATGGATCTCAATCATATTACTCTTTAAATTCTTGTTCCACCACTTCAAGCTTTTACTAACACAAATTGTTTCATGTGCCTAAAAAATTAAAAACAAGGAACTAATGTAAGGAGAAAAAAAATCATAGGAATCAAAAACTACAAAATTGAAAAAAGAATACCTTTACATACATTAATAGAGACAGTACTCATAACAGAGTTGGTGCTTGGTTTTGCTTTACCATGTTTTGAAGGACAAAGACTAAAAAACTCTTTGGATTTAGATCCAAGAAGCATACTCTCATTCAATATCGGAACATGGAAAACACTTTTTGATGAACATGCCATGATTGATCAAAATCCAATTTTTAAAAAATCAAAATACTGTGTAGCGAAGAAGATTGAAGAAAGCAATAATGTTTAAATGGTTAGAAAACAGAAAGAAGACAAAATGGGGTGGATAAAAGTTGGAAGCTAGAACAGACAAAATGTGTTATTTTTCTTATGAATGATTTGGTGAGACTCGTGGGGAGTGGATTACAATTTCATGATAAGAGAAGAAAAAAAAGTGATATGTTTGTTAATGTAACTGGTGGGACCACTTATCTGAGTTAATATAGAGTAACTTTAACTTTGCATAAAAGTTAGGGATGGAAAATGGTTCAGTTTCGACTCGTCTCGTAAAAGTCCGTTAAAAAATAGTGTGAGACGGGATGAGCATTATTAAGGGTATGGATTTAGAATTTCGACCCATCTCTCAAAAAGTGATAGCAGAATAAGAGGGACTCGTTGACACTACATTTTTTAAATTTAAAAAAATAAAAATTTATGTTAATGTTCACATATGCAAAAATTGGTAAAAAGAAATATAATAGAATGAGATAAACACATTAAAGAGTGTGAACTTAAACTTTTGGGCTCTCTCGCACTAAATTATGATAAAACAAACATACTCAACGGGCCGAACTCGTTTTATTACTCTTAATTACAACAAATGAAAATGTTTGGTTATGTTAAATCAACAATATTTTGACCAAAAAAAATATTTAAGCAATTCTCACACAATAACTAGAATAATAAGAAATGAAGTGGATATAAAGAAGTGGTATAAAGACTTCACTTTATTATGGAATAAGATACTATTTTCTTTCTTCCTCTTAAGAAATTAATATGGCAATAAATGATGCAATGAAGTTGAATCAATATAATTGTATTTCACTCACCTTCCTCCAATTTTAACTGATCTTAATAAAAATTGAAGGATTTGATGTTATGGATGATTTATGTCACCCCAATCACACTTAAGAGGATAATATCCTTAACTTTCAACAACGTCAATAGGAGACTGACCTCACTGAAGAGATAAAAGTTTTAGATCTCTAACTTCTCTTTGATGATATTTGGGAGGCCTTTATACCAGAAAGTTTTAAGCCATCTTCACTCGCAAAATTTGAAGGAAGAAGCAATTTTCAGGAGCATGTCGCCTCCATTAACATGTAAATGATGATCATCAGAGTCTCAGGCTCTCTAAAATGAAAGCTCTTATTCAACAACTTTAAGGACGCCACACTGAGGAAGTATATAAGCATGCCACGACTACTAGTCACTAGCTATCAGGACCTAGTAAAAAAGTTGGTCCACCAATTCTTAGCGAGCAGACGTAGGAAGATGTCGACCACTAGCCTATTTAATATCCTCCGGAGCCCTTCAGAGTCCTCAAGGGAGTACCGCAATCATCCATCCAAACCATGATAAATTGTAGGAGCCTTCCATAACAGACTAAGGTTCTCAATTGCTCAAGACTACTCAAGGGTTAACCAGACAAACTCGCCTCCTAAGCAATTGACCTACAACTAGGGTTTTGCTTCTATTAAGGAAAATTGGACTCCTAATGACTCAAGTGGACTTCATAGTTTCTCATATGCTTCAAAGTATCCTCATGCCAAATTTCAAGCCTTGCAACACAAGTTTGCTCAGCCAATAAGCCAAATGATTGAAAATCAGCTATATTTGACAAAAAGTCAACTTTGACCAATTTACAGTTAAACTTCAAGATTTTTGGTCAACATAAATATTTTTAAGTTACAATCATCATTTGATCAAGGTTTGATCACGATTCATCAATAAAACTCAAGATTCATCAAAAGTCAAAAGTTACTAAATTAGGGGTTTTTTAGGAGAAGTCAACTGAAATTTGACTAAGCATAACTTTCACATAATTCATTAGAAATTTCTCAACCAAAGCCTATCTCGTAGGAAATTCAATTTTCTACAACTTCGTCTCTCTAAGCTCAAGGCCAAAAATGCTTCATTTGAGAGATATGAGCCAAAACATTACAAGTCATTTTAAAAGTCAACAAAAAGATACTTTTTGTCAAATAACTTTACATCAAGATAAAGACTTCAAATGAAAAAATGACCTACATGAAAGTTCTATGAGACATCTTGAACTTTCCAAAAAGTCAAAGATCACATTCATATGACAAAAATCGAGTGAGATATGATTTGTGCAAGTTTGGCAATTTTGAGAAAATGCATGAAATCCAAATTGAGCAAATTTGAACTTTTGGGCTAATGGGTCTGTCTTTTAAAGTCCAAGCGTGTTCCTGGCCTCATAATAGACCTCTTAATCCACTCATATATTTTTTTGGTTTTTTATTTTGATTTTATTCAATTAAAAGAAAAAAAAATCAAATAAAATACCAAGTGAATGAATCAATGTGTGTAGATATATTTTTTAATCAAATCATAAGTCTAAAAAGCTGGTGACAACTTGCAAAAAACGTGTGAGATTAATTGGATTGAGATTGTCCTAAAAAGAAAGATTTCATGCAAATTCTAAATCAAATATTATACCATGATTGCACAAGATTTAGTCCAATATTGTTGACCTAATATTTTCCATTATAAATAGACACCATGTTCGTACATCCAAGGACACAAAAATCTGCCTCAAGAACAAGTCAAAAAAATCTCAAAATTGTCAAAACTAGGGCAACTTGAAAACCTTGTGTGCAACCACTTTCAAAGAATTGCAAGCATTCCACCTTGTTCTTGAAGATCTCAGGAGTTCATGCCATCCATCCTTGAAGCTTGTAGCACGCTAGAAGTCACTCATATAAGCACGCCAGTTGGGTAAAAAATCTCTAACTCTTTACTCATGCATTATAGATTGATTCTATGCATATATATTTGTTCATGATAATATTTAGACTTGTTTAGAAGCATTGTTTGAAAGCTTTAACGCAAGAACAAGGATCTTCCATGGCTAGGGCAGTTTGAGATGTATTCTTCGAATCTCATGATACAAGTAATTTCAGGCCAAACAAACATCACCATTGGATTCGCAAGGATCGAATTAGGGGGATATGGTCCTTTTTATGGTTTAACACATGTTATTCCCAGGTTTGAAAATCTTCTCACCGGAGAAGACGACCAGAGTTAGGGCTCTGGCGCTTCTCTGATATGTGTTTTATAATATATTTATTTGTTTCCATTCTATAACACGAAGCTAGCACAACGCAGATGGTGAAGGATGTGTTTGTATTACACGAGGGCATGGATTCGATCCCTATGTCTTGCATTTATTTTTTTCTATTTTTCCAAACTAACATGCAGGCTTATAATATAATAATTGGTTCATGTTCCCTATCACAACAAGCAGCTTGGCGCAATGGTAGAAAGGGGCGCTTGTGAAGCCAGGGCCATGGGTTCAACATCCACCCATGCATTTCTCTTTTTACCTTATTTTTCTAACCTAATTTTTCTATTTTCTTTCTTAATTATTTTTTAATTTACAATTAATTAACCTAATCTTTTTTTAATACTAATAAATTAGGATTAGGGTTTTAGTTAGTAATTAAATATTTCTTATATATATTTTTATTTACAAATTAATTAATTAATTAACATTTTTTAAAATTAAAATCAATTAGAAACAATTAGGTTTTAATTACTATTACCATTTAAATTATTTTCTACAAAATACCAAAAATATTAACTTAGAACTTTAGGTCTTAAACATTTTTCAAACATTTTTCTTATTTCTTCTTGCCATTTAATTTCCTAGAAAACTGTATAGGTTGCATTCTTTAATTGTAATAGCATAGATTTCTTTTCTCGCATTTTTCCCAATTATGTAACTGCTCACAGGATATAATAATGTATGATTACTTTCTCGCAAATTTTCATACTTATGTATCTCTCCCAAAGCCATTTAATAACATAGGTTTTAATTTCTGCATTTTATTTTTTTGTACATATTTAATTGTTAGTAACTAGGGTTTGCATGGCAAGACTAAAAACAAATATAGAAAACCCTAATTTTCAAGATAACATAACTTAATTAACACACTTCACACACTTTCACCTTTAGGTTAACCACTCTTGTTGCCTTACGAATATTGATCACGTCCCTCAAAAGTGGGGATACTTTAGCAAAATACCCTCGATCAAATCATCATTGTCCCTTTCGAATAAAGATTATAATCCCTCCATGACCCTTTGAGCTTCCTACAAAATATAGTCCCTTCGGTGACCCTACGAGCAAAATGATGATAGTCCCTTCGATAGAATTACTAAAGTATCCTTACATGTTGCCTTCGATGACCATACGATGACCCTACGCTTGTCCCTTCACATCCAAAAGATGGGATTACCTACCAACTAATGGTATGTATGATATCATCTCTAAAGGATAAGGAAAATGATAATAAAGACCTTTAATGGGTTAGAACTCCTAATTTCTTGCTCACAAACTTTTCTCACAAACAAATACATTTTTCACACTACATTTTCAAAAAAACACTTTGTATACATTCTTGAGGACTGATACAAGAATCATTATAAAGTTAGCCTTATATTGACATTTTAAAATATTTTCAAACAAATCACACACACACAAAGCACGTTTTCAAAAGTGAGCTAAGCAATTAAGAGCCCGTAGATAACTACGAATGAAAAGGGTGCTAACACATTCATTTTCATAACTTACCCCCCAAACTCAGAATCCATCAAAGGTATTTCCTGTTCTTTTCACCTTTCCTAAATATTGGATAAAAGAAAATTCGGTGGCGACTCTTGCTATATGCACATTTGGATAAAACCAAAAAAGTCAGTTCTCCCACCGTATTACAGAACTGGCGACTTTGGTAGGGAAAACTACTTGAGAAAATGGGTTTACCTTAGAGTTTAGATCACTTTTACTTGCTTTAAATGTTTGAATTGTTTGCTTTAGTTTAAGGGCTTTTTTGGGTATTATTTCTTATAAGATCCTACACCCGGATCTATAATTCCTTAGGTAAGTAGCAACAGATCATAAAGACTGTATGGCGTAGACCAACATGGTT